ATATATATATATATATATATATATATCCATAGAATATTCTGCATGACTTTATCTAGTTCTATTCCTTGAATTTTTAGCAATAAGAATGGTGTTACTTGGTGAGATTGATAGAAAAAACCTGGATATTCTTTGGATTATTTGACATATCTGTCACTATTAAAATAATTTACAGAACTATAGTATTCTATGGGTACCTTTATTATGTTAATTTATAATTAATTAATAAAATTTATCATTATAATTTTAATGTATTGTTAGTAAAATTATACTATAATTTTAAAACTTAATTTGCTTAGATTTACATTTAAGAAATACTTTCCACCGATCATATATTTGCATTCTTCTTTCTGTTTAAGTATCAATTTATAAAGTTAACATTACCTTGAATCAGTTCCTATTAATGTATGAAGCAGTATAGAACTGAAACAAATAATGGCTGAAAATTAAAATAATGCAAACTAATGAGAAGATGAATCAGAGCAAAAGGGTTTGAATGCAAGTATGTGAAGACACAATTCTTCATTCATTCAAAAGTTCTTCAGACATTCAGAGAGAAGTTTATGGGTGTGTGTGTGTGTGTGTGTGTGTGTGTGTGTGTGTGTAATATAATTTCTTCCTTCAATTTTGCTTTATAACTTTTTGTCTTAGAAGACAGCATCTGTCCAAAATCTTCTGATGAGATTTCCAAATCCAACAATTTAAATATTTCACATCCTATCTATCATTCCTATTTTCGACTCATTCAAATCACAACTCTGTATACTAACATTAGCAATTGTCTCAGGTTAAGAATTTTGTTGTCTGATTTTTGATAGCTCTCTCATGCAAGAATAACAACTGATCATTTAATTTGAGATTTAAAAAAATACAATATAAAATTTAAGGAGATATATACGTGATATTTCCACTGTATAAAATTGCGAGTTTTTATGAAAGTAAAACAGACATAACAACAAAAAGAGCAGACCAGGAATACAGGAAACCAAGAAAATAAATTCTACATTTTTCAAAAATGTTAGTACATTTCCATTCTCATACACCAACAGAAGAAACCTAAAATCCCAATCCCACCTATAATATAAAGCTAAACAAAGCCAGCAATTAGTTTTTCAACACAGTGACATCAGAATTGTGTCTTAAAATAAAGAATACACAATTCCCTTTCCCATCCGTCATCTGTATTCCAGAAATGTTTACTATACCAACATTGAGAAGTATTTTGCAGACCTATTCAGTAACACATAACCCAAGGACATATAGTAACAGGTTTTTAAGATTCAGGATTCTATGTATTTGTAAATCAACTTTCCAATTTACCATATCTAAAAGATACCTGTGAAAGAAGAAAAGTTTAAGTCATGGCATTCATTGCATTCATGAAATGCAAATATGTTTGGGTTTTGTTGCCGGTGCTGTTTCATTACTTTTATCCAATAGAGTAAATAGGTGCAACTGAGGCTCATACTGAGTGAAAAGTTCTCCCCAGACTTTAATGATGGAATAGACCCGTGATGGAAAACCTATGGCATGCGTGCCGTAAGTAACACACAGAGCCATCTCTCCGGGCATGCAAACCATCGCCCATTGCTATTCCAGGTTCCAGCGCACCGGCCAGCTGGTATTCACATGTGCGGAGGTGCCAAAAATCGGAAGAGCAGCTCCCTGGTGCACATATGCATGCCGGGAAGATGATCTTCCGGTTTCCGGCATGTGCATGCACACCAGCCAGCTGATCTTCACACACGTGCACCAGAAACTGGAAGACCAGATGGCTGGTGTGCCTGCACCTGCTGGAAACTGGAAGATCATCTTCCCGGCGCATGCATGTGCACCGGATGGCTGCTCTTCGGGTTTCTGGCATGTGCGCACACTCCCGTTTCAGCACTTGGTGCTGAAAAGGTTTGCCAGCATCCTACTAATTTCAGAAGTACGTTGAAAATAAATTAAGTAAGATGTGTACCTGGCTTATAGAAACACATATGGTTTATTATTTCTTACAAACTTCAATTCCAAGGTGGGTTTTATATTCAGGTTAAAGAATTCATGACATGAAGGAAAAGGACAGTGAAAAAGCAGCTACATTTGCTGACAAAAAGCAGTATGTTTGTGCTGCCAAAAAGAGCATAAGTAAAAAAGGTCCTTTTCAGATGTCATTGATATATAATTTGCCGTGTTATACTGTGTAAATGAGCATAACCCAATATGATTACTAAGAATTAGTCCAGATTGCTCCATATCTTTCTTCAGCATATTTTGATATGAAAGCTGAAAGTACAATTTTGCGGTAATAAATAAATAAAACACACTGTATATCCCTAAAAATATTTACCATTTATCAAAGAAAAATGATGAAATTCTGGCAACACAGGTAAAATAATTTTCTGAACACTCTAAAAACTCAATAGAGTGTAAAGAGATTGAAGGACAGTAATTATTTTTTTAAATGCAGAAAGTGTAGTATTCCATTGGTAGTTATTTTCTATGAGCTGATGGGATAATTCCCCCAAATTGTCCACTTAAAACATTACATGGATTTTTTTTTTCATTTATAGCAGGATTGGAAGAAATACGTTTTTATGTGGATTGTTATAAAATATATTACTTCGTTTTGAATGTTTTACAGAGATGTTTCATTTTAATGCATTGCTTCCCTAGATGCTTTTCTTTTTCTTTATGGCTTTGGTTAAACTCCCACAATGACATCAGGCTACTTTCTTGGATGAAGAAGCAGTTATAAAATTGCAAATGTATACAGGTTGGTCCAAATACAGCCCAAATGGAACCATGACAGCCCCAGTGATTTAGATGAGAGTGGTTGCGAAGCAGAGGAGAAATTATTCACACACATAACACACAAACACATACAACTGAATTTCAACAATTTGTTACAATTGAGAAACAGGACTGCTTCAGTGCAATGGCGGAATAAACAAAGCTTGAATACTGGAGAGGCAAATGTAATACAAAAGGCTTTGTTGTCTCCTGTACTACCCTGTTTTTCCTAAAATAAGCCCTCCCCGATAATAAGCCCAATAGGGCTTTTGAGTGCATGCGCTCAAATAAGCGCTCCCCTGAAAATAAGCCCTCCTCAAAAATATTGCAATACAGCAGCAGCTATGAGGTGACCACGCTGGCCACCTCCTGCACCTCAAAAATGATAAGAACTCCCCGAAAATAAGGCTTTTTTTGAGGGTGAAAAGAAAATAAGACCCTGTCTTGTGAATGGTGCTCTGCCCAGCTGGAAAGTGGGTTTTTCGGGCGGTTGCTCGTGAACTTGGTCACCTCATGGCTGCTTCACCCCCGAGGCTGTGCCCGGCTCTTCGGGAGCCAGTTTGCAAGGGAACACCCACCCGGCAACTCCCCCCTCCGGCCAGGCAGATTGCCACTCCCCAACCTAGCGGTATCCCGAAGGCAGCAAACAATGTGAGCGCCTTTCTCTCCCTCCCCCTCTCGGCTCCTGCGGCTTGGTGCCTTCAGGATACCGCTATGTCAGTGAGCGGTGCTCTGCCTGGCCAGAGGGGAAGTTGTCCAGGGGGTTTATTTTCCAGGGTGGGCTTATATTTTTGGCCACACGAAAAATGTGGCAAGGCTTTAGTTTCAGGACAGGTTGTATTTTCGGGGAAACACGGTAGCCAAAAAGGTTGACATTGCTAAATGATATAATAGAAAACATTTTCCTTACCTTTATTGTACATATTTGTTGGCACTTGGACATCACTCAAAGTGACATTCACAGGCAAATTATTGAAATGGTCATTTGGTTCAAGGATGAATTCCTTTCCCAGTTCTAAGAAGTTTCCATCTTCATCTCGTTCATTAATGAGAACAGCATTGAAATATTCATACTGAAATAGAAAACCAGTGATGATAAATCTATAAACTGCATTATTAATGCACTTAAATAAAACCAATCGCTACCACAATGTCCAATTTGATGTACAACAAGGACAGAAGAACAATTTCATAAATTATTACGTAGAAGTAAATCATCACTGAACCTGAAAGGTATGTATACATTTGTCCGTTTGATAGGTGGGCTGGTTGGTTGACATTTTTTACCATTTCAGTTATAGATAATCCCAAAAAACACACAGTTTGAACTAGATATCATTATTATTAGCACTCTAAAACAATTTGGTAGTAATCATAATTTAACTTCAATGACACAACATAATTATCTACATATATTCAAAGCACCACACTTAACCAATATAATCTTAAATGAGAATGTTCTGCAACACTAGAAAGGAAGTGGCTATCCTTGACTCTGGGTCAGACTGTTCAATAAGTCTCTTATTTAACACAAAGAAGGTCCACCTCTTGAATCTTGCCACATTAACCAATAAATGAGGGACTCTAAGGAGTCATTACTTGTTTGTAGGCACTGAGGAAGCAGATTCTACATCAAACAGACAACCCTAAAGATACTAGGTCCAAAACCAAAAATGACTTTATAGCCAATTTAAATTACACATAGAAATAAACTAACCACCAGACAGCTCTTGGAGCATGGTGTTACATGAGAGCAGCACACAAGCGGCTACATTCTGAAACCCTGGTGGTACAGTGGTTAGAATGCAGTATTGCAGGCTAACTCTGCCCACAGTCAGCAGTTTGAGCCTGACCTGCTCAAGGTTGACCCAACCTTTCATCCCGTCTTCCTTAGTGAGGGCAGTTCTGATATTCAGTTGTAGTGATTATGTCAGTCCCCATTTATTGGTAAAAGTGACACACTTAAGAGGTGGACATTCTATGTGGGCAGCCCTCTTACTGAATGCTTCTTCTGTCTGATGTGCACATCTATGCTTCAGATGCTCTCACCCCTACCTCTTCATCTCTGCTGTCCTGGCCATCCTGCCAATCCTATGCTTTGCTGCTCTGCTGCTGTTGACTCCTGCTTCCCTGTACTCTGCCACCACTGCTACACCCAGCTGACCTTCGTGGTCTTCTTTTTCCCATTCCTGACAAGTCCAGTATGTCCTGCTTGTGTGAGGCCTTCAGAAGGCTTGAATTAATTCTTAGAGAGTAGCCAGGAATATCAATAGCTACCAATTATGTAGATTTAGAGGAAACATATGTTTGAAACCAGCTGTTGGAGACCACTTGTGGAAGAAAGTTTTGCGCACATATATTCCTTTTGAATTCCCCATGATATTAAGCTGCTCTCAGAATGACTTAGCAGGGTTCTTTTTATGTTCCTATGACATTTAAAGGAGAAAGATTTACAGATTACTGGATAGATTTAATTTTTCTTCCAACATTAAATAACAGATAAGCAAAAAGCAATTTAGATAATAATATTGATTATTTTTAGCATGACCTAGGTCAAACAGAGACTACATCAAGCTCTTGGAACAAGTGAAGTCTCTGGTAACCAAGGATTTTAAACAGTGAAATAAAAACAGAAGAGAGAATATGGTGTTAAATATGTCATGTGTTTTGTTGTTATGGTACTGTTTTACCTTTACCTCAAACATTATATTAAGTATTTTGTAATCATGGATACCAAACTCAACCAAGATCTTCATACAATTTTCTATAGTTCCCTGATTTAGTTGCATAACAAAGATCTATACAAATTCTTCACCCAACCAGTTGAATATTTTTCCTAACAATTGTTCTTAATCATATTTGCAAGACTTCACATAATAATTCATTATAGGGAGCAGCTAAATGATAATTCAACAGTTTGATGATAATTACACTATCTTTAAATTCAGGAAACTACTTATACTATCAATCTAACTCAATACTTTTGTATCCAATGGCATAAATACTCAGAGTTTCAGGCAGAATATAGTTTCAGGCACTGCACTTTTTAAGAATATTGAATGCTGTCCTATACCAAATCAGACTTTTGAGTCATCTAATCCAATACTGATTGGTAATTCTCCTTTAATGTTCAGTCAAATGTTTGTTAAATCTTTTTGAAAATTGTTGAGGCCTCACTGGAATCTTCTGAAAGGAACATATGATTTATCACAGAACGTCTTACACTCTTTTAAAAAAATCTTCTACATAGATTATGCTGCAGTTTTGCTATACAATTTCATTGAATTCAGAGTCTCTTTCAAATGCTAGGAGCATCTGAACTAAATCAACCAGAAACTGGGAAAAAGGGGAAGCACATTCACATCTGTGACTTTCTGTCCTAAAATGTTATCTATAGTTGTTCCTCAAGCACCCACACTGACTTTCTTTAAGAACAAATTGTCAGAAAGACCAACTATAATGGACCAAACTTCAGGCTCCAAGACTGAATTCAGAAAAAGCTGTGCAGTCAATGTATGGCATGACCAATAAATATATCTATCTTTGCTCGGATGAAGTCACTTGAAATAACTAATTGACCTCTGTGACTATGAAGTGGATACACTTAATATCCACAGGGTTGCATTATAACACTTCTTCCCATCTCTCCCACAACTTAATGAACGTTGCCTTATGCTCCTTATCCTTGGAGCTAAGTGAATACTGGTTGACTTAACAGATATTTCAGTCCTAAGAAATGTTAGCTCTCAGCATATTCTCAACAGCAGGAGTTCATCTACGTCAGCAATCCATGCCACTGATTCATGTAGGATTATACTGTAAGCTTGAACTTCTGTGAACTCTTTTCCCTTCTAGAGTCAATTCACAACCAGTGAGGAGATACTCAGCTCCTTCTCTATTTCCCCTAGAATGTGTGACTGGAAATAAATTGTTCAAGAACTAATTCTAACCAAAATCACTCTAGCTTATCCAACATAAGTTTCTTTAAAATATTTAACATCAGCATTTTTTTAAAAAAATCTAGCAATTACTATAAGGTAATTATATACCCCAGGGGTGTCAACCTCAATTTCATTGAGGGCTGCATCAGTGCTGTGTTTAACCTTGGGGGGCTGGGGTGGATGTGGCTGGGGTGGGCATGGCCAGCTCAACATCACTCATGTTGAGTGTGCCAGTGGTGGCCCAAGCACTCTGCCAGTGAAAGAGGGCTCTTGAGTGCCATTTTTGACTGTGATGGCCTCCTGCAGCCCTTTGCCAGTGAGTTCTGTTTTCGCTGGCAGAGGCATTGTAGACCAATCCTACACTGTTTCCAGTGCAGCCCTGAAGGCCAGATCTAAGCATCTAAAATGTCTTGCATCTTCTGTTGTTAGTAATCAGCATCAAAGGAGGTCTTTCTTAATTTGTCTCTCCATTAGACTTTAACATTGACATAACCTCTAACATGCTTCATTGCCAAGACAAGAAGGATTGGACATGCAGTAAACACTTTTTAAAGTCATCACACTTTTTTGCTGGCCCCAGCACTGAATAACAAAACTTTAACACTGCCATGCAGGAAAAAAAAATCCAAAAAGTGGGAAAATTGTTTCATTGATGTGATTATTTTTTGCCTTTCCAGATAAACATATTTATATCCATTGAAAAAAGGGGGAGAGGGCTACAGTAGAAGTTGCTCACAGAAGCTGTAGTTGCTTACAGCTACTTCTTAAGCTAACTTCAAACGTTTCAGTTCAGGCTGCAGTGGGTTGTTGGACTGATGCCCAGTTTGGACTGTGGTTGTGACAAGAACTGAATGGTCATTCCTCTGCAGTTTGCCTTTCCCATCAGTCCATCTCTTGTGTGGACTGATCTATCAATGGTGGTCTTCTCATTTCCTTTCCCAGATGTTTACACACAGGAATTTTCTTATCTTTGAATCCAACATTATCTTTCTTGATGTTAATGCAGATATTTCTTTCCTCCCTTACTGTACTATCACTGCTCTGGTGCTACAATAATCAAAGCAACAGGATGACTGTTGGAGGTCCATAGACATTTTGTAATGAGGAAGAACAGATAGTTCAGCATTCCAGAAACAAAAGTAGAAGTATTCCTAGATGCAAATTATAGAGACAGTCCTTGTTTAATGACTACTTATTCAGTAACCATTTGCATTTATAATGGCACTGAAGATTTATGATTGGTCTTTGTACGTCTGTCAGTTGCAGCATCCCCATGGTCATGTGATCATAAGCTGGCTACCTCCAGTGCCTGGCTTTCAATTATGATGTTGCAGCATCTCATGGTCATGTGATCAGCATTTGTGACTTCTGATGATCGCAAGGGGATCTGTTCCTCAACATAAGAAGCCTTGAATGGTCCATTGCAATGACAGGCCAAGAAGACCTACTCATCTGCCTTTTGTGTTTTAAGCAAACCAGTGCAATGGGAACATAGGTCCTGAGCTAATGCAAAGATAGCACAAAGATCTTACAGGAAGGGTCCATACAGTTTAATTCCGTCTTTCTCTTTCACACACACACCTTATCGCTTACTGTGAGAAAGGGCAACAGTATGTAAGTAGGAAAGGAAAAGTTATACTAAGGGAAACTAATATACCAGACCCTGTGTTATATGTTTTTAGAGAGGGTTTCAGGTGAAAATCTGTCTTTATCAGGCAGACCACAACTTGGGTTCACTAAAACTTCTAGAATAAGGCTGAAAAGGATGTCTGAGGGGAGAGGTTAGAGAAAGTTTCCCATTTAAGCAGAAGAAGCCTGGCTCTACAGCATGTTGTGAACATCTGCAATTGATTTCTAGGAAACAGATTGGTTGTGACAGTTGAAAGATGGCAGAAGGAAAATTAAAAAAATAAAAATGGTTGAAAAACATGAAAAACAAACTCATCCGGCACATCAAAACTACATTTGAGATAATGCCCTGGAAGAAAGTACTAAGGTTTATTTGCTGACAAAAAACACTCAAAACACTAAGGTCTAAGAGAAAATGACTTCAATTTAATCTTGTCAATAGAGGTCAACCTTTAATACAACCTTAACAAGGTGATTCTAAAGACAACATGATATGTCACATC